CCCAAATGCTACCGGGCTTGCGGAATGCAACTGTTACCAAATTTTCATAAGTATGGATTTTCACGGCTATCTTATCACAGCTGTCGAAGTATGTCAGCCACAGACCTGTCGATGTCTGGCCACCAGGATGGATAGTTGGTTTTGCAAAATTACTTTCTCACGACTTGCGAAACTTGATACAGATATAGATCTCAGAATATTGACCCCAGTGTGTCTGTGAACCAGGCAGCATAAAACATTTTGGGAATTTTACGTTTGGAAACCCAGGAATGAGGGATTTGAATTAAAGCCTTATAATTTGGCAGATATATCTATTTTAAAAGTGGCATAATCATATCCTTTGCTGTAAATTACTTTATTCTTAAAAACACCATCCCCCGATTTATCATTTGACTATGTCTCGCACAGTTGAATTCAGATTTAATTGTGTTTCCAATTTACTTTCAGGTCACTCAACTGCTTTGGAGACTCAAGTCAAAGGTGATTGTAAGGTAAGAAACACTTCGGACCTACTTGAAAGCAAGTGTATCGAAACGGAATAATTAATTTCCTTTCTCTTCAGTCAGCAAGTGGTAATAATTATACCATAGTCTGAATCGGTCCAATTATGATTCATATATGAACGTACTTCACGAATGTACAGTCCTTCACCGCCCGTGGGAAAATTAACACAAAATTAATCGTATAATTGAAATCAGTCTGAATGCTACATGTAGACTAATTAGTATCATACTGTTCTCGCCCGTCGGTGCGAATTATACGCCTCGTGTTCTTTGTAAGTAAAGTGTGACCTATGAAAGGCGAGACTTTCTCTAATTATTGATCGTTTCATGCTTAAGGGGGATGTCTAGTTTCACAATACCTTATTTTAGATAATGAGCACTTTAATATACTTATTACGTCCGTTATGGACAATGGGTCTGTATATTGTATTCCGAATACTGTATCTCGATGTTAATTGACCGAGAAAGGTACTCTCGTACCGTTATCGTAACGATAAGTTGTCCGTATGTCCTACTCAGAACGGTACGTCTAACGGAGTTGCTTATCGGCTTTGATTCGAGGTTGAAATTATAATCAACCAACCAAAATTTCTATCCAATCATTATTATAAAAATTCAAAGTTTTCGGTTAACTTAAAAAGCTTCCATAAGTAGTTTTCGCAAGACATTTATGAACTTGGGACAATACATGGTCATAAACATTTGACTCATTTCGGTCATTATTTGCATTACCGCCTTAAGAACCTTCTCGATCTCGGATTAACAACTAATTTTATAGTAGTGTATTGGACAATCACAGATCATACCCAGTCACCCTTGAATATTTAAATTGTGTAATTCACGTAGCTGTACTCGCATGGAGAGCGCTATTTCTCGACTGAATAAATTTTCATATTTGCATAGTGCAAAGAATGAGATATCTAATCGTTAAATATATTTTTAGAATAAGGTGTAAAAAGACGGAAGTTTGGCTTGTTGCCACATCCGTCAACGTGTTTCTTCATTTTGGCTGAGTCCATAAACGGAAGTTGACGTAAGTGTCATAGGTATTTCACTTAATTCAGTTTAAATAATCCAAAAAAATTATCAATGAATAAAAGTCTATAGCACATAAGAAAGAAGCACAACACATATAGATGGCATTTAATCATATTTCAAACGTTTAAATATATGGCGTGATATTATATGATCAGTCCACAAACAAAGCTATGGGTCAAATGGATATGAAATTTCAAATCAAATACTAAACTATAAACTTTACACATATTTTGATCAATTACTTTGAATTCCTTCAGAGGCAGTGATTAATATTTCTAAGTTACAAATAATCATATTATAACAATGTGGAAAATGTTTGGAAAGCAAAAGAATAAAATTGGAGTTGCTCTTTATCAGGCGGCATCAGGCTCCGCATTTATTTTGTAATTAACGCGATATATTTTGTCAGACGTAAACAGCCACGTTTGTATATATTATGGATATTTTGTGACTTGGCGAGGGCTGGAATCATATTTCCAACTTTTAATGCCAATGTAGTTACTATCAAACTGGCTGCCTTTCTGACATCTTGGTGGGACCTCCGCGGAGAAGTCTATTCCAATAGCGATCATGATCCATTGATATTCCCAACCAACTATTTGGTAGTCGATTTTCAGTATGTAAAGTATTTCTGTAAAAATCACATTGTCGAAATTTTGAACAAACGAGTTGTTAGGTTTTTTTTTTCTCTTGGCCATGTATGAAATAGTTTTTAATCACGATTTTAGTTTCAATCGTAATTTCAATTTTTTAATTAGACAAAGGAATTTTAATAAAATTGCTTATTCTTCCCTTTTTCGGTACGGTATGGTATATCACTGACTGGTTTTGACGTTACCTGTACTATTTTAATCGTTACGTAGGATCTATGACGTATAACGCCTTTAGCTGATGTTAAAAACAAACGATTTACATACCTTCGCATACCTGGCTGACTAAACTTACGGTGGTTTTATACATACAAGCGTTTTTGAACTTGTTTTGCTTCTATGATTTAGAAAAGCCCATGATTCATTTTCACGAAAACAAGTTAATCGTGCTTTTGTGAGTTTGTGAATGAAGTCTCTGTTCAAAAGCAGTTGATGTTAAGTTCAGCTGAACAACTTCTCAAAACTGAGAAGACTCACTTTAAAACCAGGTTGCTAGAATACAATTAGATGTCTGTAACCAAAAAAAAAATTTATCATTGTAATATGTAGAGACAGGCTCACGCCCATAATGGGTAGGATTCAAATCAACGTAATCAGGAAAACAGTGAAAGAAAGTAAAACGGTATTCATAGAATATTCTATTCAACCAGTAATAGTAAGTCCAATAGATCAGCTTCGAGTTAATTCATTTTTACTTATGTGATAATCTCCCACAGGTATTTGTTTGTTTTGTTAATATTTTCTGTCTATTCACTGTCGGTGTTATATTAAAGTTAAGTTGAAACTGTAGCGATATGTATAGTTTTCCAGTTACAAGTAATTTATTTTATATTATCATCAATTGCTTAAATCGAACTGTTATCATGTATTGGAATTTTTCCCAACATTTCTATTGTTCAATTTTCATTTTACTCTTAGAATTAGAGCGGCCATCCTACCATCGCAGTAGCTTGTCTAGGGCTTTGTTCGAAGCAGCCTAGGTCTCATTCCTAGTTTACTCGTCACTAATTTGAGGTTTTTGGGATTGGCGTACCAAAACTGGATAATCTAATGTCTCAGTATTGTTTGGCACACTTGTCCAAACATGGGGCTAACATGTTTCATGTCTTCATGCAACAATGTATTATTAAACATGCTTGACTGATTCTTGTATTTGAATGTAAAATCCAATGCTATGCTCTTACGAGCAACCGAGCGTATAGCTTGCGTGAGACGCTCTAAAGCGCTCAAATGCTACTCGTAAATAAACAGTTGACCCGTGAGCACCCAAAGAAAGACTATACGTCTCAGTTCACTTTGCTGGCAGTATCGATTAAATCTAGTCGCAACTATTCTAATTCTTCTGGCGAACATGACTAGACTCAACCTAGTCACATTACTCACTATCATTTTTAGAAGTTCGAATGCCGGTAGAATTTTAGATTAGTAAAATCGTACATATATATTGGCAATGAAAACATTCAAAAGTGTTATTTTGAACTTTTAGAGAACTTTTGACTTTTTGGAATGTTTTTATTAAATGCCTACACCTTATTACATGCTAGGATGATATTCATAAAATTATTCGTTTACTAGTCTTTATCTGGATATATAAGCGTATTCTCCATATTATGTTGCAGAGGTCCAGTCTAGATCCCTTGTCATTATCTAAAATAAACAATCCACGAAAAGTTTTAATGTGAAATAGTCCCGTGCAAACAGCAGGATTCTTTGGATTAAATTTAGGGGTGTAATTACATATTTGTCGACACAATCCTTGTTATATTTACGGTTTAATCTTTTGAATCCCCCATACGTTTATGGGGTGCGCCGATGGACACACGATGACGACAATTTTCGTCTTTTCGCGTGCGACGCAGGCGAGATTCACGGGGTCAGTACCAAACAAATAAATAGCCACTATATATAGTTCTTATTAGAGAAACTCGCAAACTACTAAATAGCCAGTAAGGTATCTATTGAATACTGTTTATATTATGGTAATAAGGATTTTATTTGCTGGTAAGTGTAATTTAATTTATAAATATTCAAAACTATGAAACAAAAAGTCTGATAAGTTGAAGAAAAATATCGAATAAACAGTTTAGTCATATATTCTTGAACAATTTGTTCATTCTAGTAATGATGTCCACAATTCGAACATAAAATATTCATGTGAATGAAACATACGTTATTGCGTCATGTTGGACAATTTATCTTATTCAATGGGTTCAGTATTTTCTAACTACCTGTAATTAATATGCTTGTCTTAATACAAATTTCCTCAAGATGTCATGCAATTAACAATTATTTTAGTACCTCAGGCATAACAAATCTAAATCCACTAAATATACTGCTATGTCGCTAAATCAACAATTTCCACTCAAGTTCAGCTTCTGAAATATTCTCTTTTATTTTCTTTGGATCATCGCTTATTAGTTCATGCTATGTTGGGAATAGATGTAAACCAAGGCCGATAGACGGTACTTCATGGCTGTAAAAATAAACTTGCATACCACACTATACTATGTGTCGTTTTTATTGCACTAATGATACGGTCGTAACTCGGTAAAATACCACATTTTACAACGTTTAGACATGTGTGTTCTAAGATAAATCGAATTTCAAATTGAGCTTGTTTTATTTAGTAGTTTAGCGCCATGTTTGACCTGATGATAATATTTTGTATAGCTATCGTGTTTCTGCTCTCTGTGAAAGGTTGCGTGCGTGCGTGAACAGAGAAAAAATGCGTCGCTCGCGATCGACGTCGATATGCGAGAGTTCAGTCGATGTTTGAGTTTTGTCGGGCAGGTGAGGTTGATTGTCTACCTTGGCGTTGTCGAACATAAAATTGCGGCAGAAAAATGCTTTATCAAATGTAATTCAATGTGAGATAAGATAATAGTGATAGGAAGGATGTGTGCATATAACTTTCTGTCTTCAGATAAAATTTGAATAGACTTGCATACGAAAGAATAGTAAAATGGACTAATTTCGCGTCATCTGTGTTTAGCTACCGGTACAGATAAATCGTTTTATTTTACACGTGCATTAAATATCCGTCATTCTTCTTTATCATAATTTGTGAAAGCCTGTGTAGGTAAATATGGCGCAAATACACGGAGTAATAGTGAAGATGGATTTTGTATAGTAGTATAACATAAACATATTCGTAGGAAATTATCGAATTTTCAATTTTTTCTGTTGAAATGTGGTGCGCCAATCCAATGGTTGTGGATACATTGGAAGGTAAGATAGTTTTGAATCAATTACCGATTTGTGCTTCTAATATGACTTTCAATTATCAAACTGCAAGGTCTCTTCAAAGTTTATTTGGATCTCTGAAATATGCTCAGAGATGATGCATATATTATGTAAACATCAATTGAAAACGTATTCCACAAAAAATGATTCATTTAAATTAAAAATATATATTCGGTCAATTGAAACTCTCAACCATCAAATCAACTTTAAAAGTGCATTCCTGCGACGATTTTGTACCGCAGAAGGAGAAAATATATTCAAATTGAGTTTTTTACCTTTTTTTAAACCGTTGGCAATCTAGCGATAAGTCAATGTTAAATATATTAAAAATTGTTGTCGTTTGGCTTGAATTACGGTTTCACGCTGTGACCTAAATGTTGATAGATTTCGATTTTAACGCCTGAGGTCTATGATCCGACCCTCGTAAAATATCCGGCAGTAAATCTTGGACGCTGACGATCTCGCAAAAGTGTATGAAGGATTTACATTTAGAAAACTTTGAACCCGTATGAACTTGGACGTAACGTTGTCCAACCTTCATATTATACATTCTCAGAAAGGATCGGCTCTAACTTTAGAAAAATAAAAACAAGTTTTGTGGGACATTTCGGTTAAACTCTGAATACCAGCTGTTATGATAGGACATCAATATTACTTTATGCTCCAATACACAATTTTCACATTCGATTTTGACTAAGACGATCTTTTGTTCCATTATAAAGCCGGAAGCCGTTTTTAGACGTTACGTCACTCGTAGTACTTTTTTGTAACAACACGATCAACGACGGCCTGTGCTGTCATTATCTGTTTGGTAGTAGATATGATATGCGACGGGCTGTGGTCCACTTCGCTATGTATACGTGCCTGACTGGCCCTTTGTTTGAGTTATGTCTACCCGATTAAGTCATTTCATTGTTCTATGCTAATTTCCAAGGCCGCACTGTGAGGTGTTTGGAGAGAAAGTAGTTTGGATTTGTTAACTATGTAACCCTTTGGGTGATATATAAACTGTGAATGAATATGGAAATGACTATTTTCCTGTGTAACGCCCCGACTTGTTACCATTCCAGAGTTAAATTTGGCACATACGTTTGAACAATTTGAACGAGTGATTTCTACCAAACCTCCTAACGTCGCTCGCCAAACTATCACTTACATTAATCGTAAAATTATTCATCTCACAAATCGCTATTGTTCTACGTGAATTATTTTCCACCCGTACTTCCGATCATCTCTAATCGTTTACTCTCGACAACCAGAAGCGATTTACGATCGCTTCCATACGTGTGACAGGTGTCATGAACTCTTATCTTAAGTGAGAAGTATGGTTGGAAGAATTTATTGTCCAGAATTTTCTCCGTTGGTTTTTATTCGGATGTAGTCATGCCCGACTATGCAAAGCGCTCTTGTAATACATAATTTTATTCCGCGAATGTTTGTTTGATCATTTAATAGAATTGTTTGAAGATGGCTGAATTATGAGTTTAGTATAGGAAATACAAAGCCAGGTTGTCCGGCGACAAGTCGCGTCGCAAGTTGCTATCAGCTACTTCTACTGTTACTGCATCTTTGATTCATCATCAGTCATTTTGCACTCGTAGTCATTCCTGCATATTTTTAGTTTCACGTCGAGTGAAGTAATTTAGTCACGCAAATCGACGAAATCTTTCTAGACTACCACGTTTTTGATTGATTTTCCTTGCCTTTGCTTTCTTTTTAACAATATTGATGTTACCTTTGGATTGTCAGATTTCACGTAATATTTGGTAATTTGTGTGGCTATGACCAAGCATGACTGCTGTTTTTTGCGTTAGAAATTAAAACTATTTTTTGTTCACTTGTACTTCTAAAGAGACTTTCCTGGCACGATTTTAGGCAGGCTTTACTTTTGATATACCATAGTATGATACCAATTTTCTGTCACCATCCAAACCCCATGTCGTATTCATTTACAAAAGTCTTCGATAGATGCGACAGCTTTACCTTTGATACAAACTACCGGTACTTAAATTTGTCGCATTTCGAAAGACGCAAAGTCAGCGATTTTAACAAAGTTGAGCCGACCAGGACATTGTGTAGTTATTGTTTGTCGATTACTAGATGAAATAGGTCAGTTTGCTTTACTTTTAGTATGTCGTCAGACAATACCCGTTCTCCAAAAGTGGGGAAAGTATAGTCAACCTAATTGAGAGCAGAATTTTTTTGGTATACCTTTTTTTTGGAATGCATTATTCAGATGAGTTAGAGTTTACTTCATTAAATATTCTTTTATCGTTTTTCATCTTCAGTTAAAAATTATGTTGCATATACAAATAGACCGATAATACTATCTGTAATTGTATTTCTACTTTTTTGGTCATGGTACGACAAAACATGGAGATCGGTTAGTAACTTAATTTTATATCGTTGTTGAAAATCAACTTCGCCATTGAAATCGTAATCAGAATTTGTAATTTCTAATCTTACAAATATATAGTAAAAGTGAAATCTAAAAAGTGTATCCGTGTAAAATAGGATTTTACATAATAGGAACACGCACCAAGGCAATTTTGTAATATCACAAAGAATCATAATTTGCAACGTGAATCATACCTGATCAAGCACGTAACTTTGATAGACTACGTTTTAATAGAAGATTTATCAATGTCCACGTTTAATCGCCCGTCATTTGAATCGCATTATCTTGCCGTTGTATTATAATACCTGTAAAGTGGAATGTCGTCGCATCGTCATCACGTTTTCGGACAAAAGGAAACCGAATTATGTCCACTGTTGGCCGGTATAGACCACTTCATCGACTTTTTGTGCAAATATACCTTAGATAACGTTTTATATACCCAATGTAGGCCTAGTATGATCGTGGCCAAAAAAAGACCAGAATCAAGTCCGATCGGCGTTTATTAATTATTCTTAATCCCTCTATAAACTCATGTATTCTATTTGTACATAAGTAGCATACATAGATTGTCTTGAAAATTTCATCTCTGCATCGACGAAAAATTGATTCTCTTTGCCCATTTTAAAGATATTGTAGCTTTTTTGTTGTTTGATCTTTTTCGAATTTTAATAGTAAATGGGTTCCCATATTATTGTAAACCTTTAATCATCTTTGCAATTCTTTCGTTTTCATTTTTTCAAGTGGCTTTGGAAGATATTAAAATTAAAATTTCAAACATCATTTCAATTTTAGTGCATATACAAATTGTAAGTGCTGAAAATATACTTATATGTTCAAGTTAGCGGTGTACTTGTCTTATAACTTGAATACAAAATTCGTGTACTTTTGAGGGTTAGGTTACACTTTTATTTTTTAGATCAGGACTTGTTGCCATTTCCGCTATCCATTTATATTCATGCAACAAAATAACTTTCAATTTTTTGTTTATAGCTGATCCGTACTCTGGGTACGCCGAGTGCCAGGACGGCGTGGGAGATCAGGAAATAGACGACAAAGTTTCAGATCACATCCCAGTATATCCATCTCGTCCTCCATCGCTCGCAAGATCGGCTTCCTGTAATCGGATTAATCTCGCACTTCCCAATCGGAAGCCAAAACGAAGTCTCAGTTCAAGCGGGACACAAAGGCCATTTGTACGTATAAGTCGGGTTCAAAGTTCAAAGGGAATTGACAGAGAGACAACGCCAATAAAAGAAAAACTAAAAAGAAGTGATTCAGTCATAACTCGCTTAGCACGCCAGTATTCGTTCGGTCGATCTAGGCGTTCCGGATCGAGTTCGACGAATATGAGTTCAGTGCAATCCGCTGTAGACACAACAACTGTGAAAAACATTGGTAAATCGCCGAGACGAAGACGGGGTAAAAACTCGAAAAATGATAATAAAGTTACAGAGGCTTTAATTGAAATACCACCTTCTTCTAATAAATTGAACGTTGTAAAAAATACACACGGTCGCGTGCCACCACCGCTTGATATGACTGTTTCCAATCCACACATAAACGGACAAGATCTCATTTCATCGCCTGAATCTTGTCCGAGTTCTCCTCCGCACTTTAATACTTCATTTTCTATGCCTACTGAGAATAAATCGTCCGAAAATATAAACAATAAAATTTCTTCATCAAATCTGCTTTCTGTGGACAACAGGAAGAAACCTAGAGCAGCTTCGCCAATTTCGGCGGACGATTCGCCATTGCCCTCACCTCCTATTGACGACAAAGCATATGACAGTGGTCGTATGAGCATGTCATCTTTTCGTTCATTTGGGAGTGGACGGCCTACTAGCCTAAGTTCAGTGACGTCATCAATTTCATCACGGACGTCCAGAGGGAGTGATTATTTCAGCAGTGCGTCATCTAATGGTCAATCCGATCAACAACACCAGGTAGGCGACGACATTCGTTTTTGTAATTTGCCTTTATATCACGTCGAAAATAATTCCCAAATCATCGTATTATATATCATATTTTCAGGTTACTTCTTATCGTCTTGGACTTCAAACAGTGTTACCGGATCTCAACGAAACGACTCCCGATGAAACGACCAAGAGCAAATATACCAATTCGCGAGCAGCTGCTTTTGCTGCCCACGATCGCCAAAATAAAAATTTGGACGATGTCGACGCTCTTGCACCAGTGGCAAACCTGGCCATGATTGCCAACCCGGATTTATCTTACGTTGATCGTGTTATATTGGAATTACTTGAGACAGAAAGGATGTACGTACGATCTCTGAAAGATATTTTAACGGTAAGTAATATATCTAATCTAACCCTTCTGTCCGTAGTTTTCAATTCAAAACAGGTTAGATGTCATTCAATTGATTGGTATTCAATATAATAGAACATCTGACCATCCAAGAATCGAAAAGTAACAATATTCTAGCTTCAGTTAAAGTTTTATAATTTAATATTTCCAATTCCATAGTGGAAAAAAATCACGCTATGATTGTTTTAAATTTAGGTTATTTTTAGTTTCATTCGAAATATAAATTTTCCATCTATTTATTACTTCCAAGTGTAACTTCATCTCATTGCGTGCGCTTGTACTAAACTTTTTTTTTTCGGTTGAATAAATTGTGAATTTTGCCACCTTATGATTTGAGAGATACCCGATACTTTATAACGTCAAACACGGCAATGAAAATTTTGTCTTGGAGTTGAAGATCATAGTGTGTCTTCCATGATGTGTTTTGTTTTATTATCATAGCAATAATAGCTACAGTACCTACAGTACACATTATGCTATCAAATTTCATGTTTTACCAGGCTTGTCTTGAATTGAGTTGGAATTGAGTAACAAAACATTTTGACAATATCAATATATATTTCTTCAGCTTTAAAAACATATAGGCACAAGTCTCGGTAATGTTGTTGGTTAGATGTCATTCAATTGATTGGTATTCAATATAATAGAACATCTGACCATCCAAGAATCGAAAAGTAACAATATTCTAGCTTCAGTTAAAGTTTTATAATATCACTTCAATCTCAAGATAGTTTGAGATAGCAAATAATATTTCGACCTTGTATTAATTTTCTAGTTAAAGAGGTTCGAACCAAAACAGTTCCCATATATTCTAATATGCCACGATAAATAGCTGATTTGCTATGTATCTCTTGCTCATATCGTACGATATACTCATTTAATATGTCCGTTTAGACTAGAATAAATTTGTAAAACTAGGGTAACAAGCCTTCAAAGTATTTACCTCATAATAAATTGTTCATACGCGATTTGCCACAGTACGCGAACATACATAGAAGCAGTTGATGTGTCAGTTTTGTTCCCACTCTCATAAAATAAATTGTTATTTAGTTCTCATCCAACCTTAACGCTACATTACTTGTGCGTGCGCGTATTTGCGTGTCTTTAACACCATAAATAACACCAATGATATTATTTTCAAACTCTTCATAAAAATAGAATCTTGAATAAAAATAACTGAAATTTTATATGATATTCCCAATGGTGTTTTTCGTCGCTCGAATTGTATATGCGCTGCAGTGGCCTAGGTCAACTGTTGTCACTATAGGATATAAGGACCAATCGTTCTAATTGAGTAAATCCACACCTAACGATTTAAATAAACGGATAATTTATAGAAAAAAACGGGTTTCTACAAATCGTAGTTTTTAGTCAGGAAAACTCTGACCAAACCATCTTTAATGCGTACTGCCTATAATTATTGAATGCTGGTAATAATTTTAAAACAATCATTTATATATGCATGTGACTATCCGTTTTACAATGAGACGATGGCATAGGAGGATTGCCAAAAGTTATGTTTCAAATTCAAATGCCCACTAGAATTTATTTGATTCTTCAAAACCTCACGTATGCGTTCGATTGCAATTCTTACGATTATATAAATTATAAATATTTTATAATAATGTCGCAGTACATGTTATTCCATTTAAAATTGATATCCCTTGGGAGGTCGAGTTTCTGTTTCTTTATTTCAAAATTATACGCATTCTATTAACCAATACCAACTAATATCATTATAATAAACAATGCAATATATACCATCGAAATAACATCATGCAAAGGCGTTTCGGAGACTTTAGAGAGGCTCAAGCGCTTTCAATTCGTCGCTTTGAAAATTATACCTGATTCGGTAAGGTTTCATTTGAACAACATTATATTGGTCAAAATTTATCCAAGTTTCAATATCACAATTTTTCACTCAGCACAAAACTATCAAAATACTAACGAATTCATAATATATTGATGGGTAATCGAAGCGGTTAATAATACACACGTGACCTTTAACCATGACTCGACGTAATGAAGCTCAAGTGACAACTATTTCGGTTTTGCACGCAACTCAGTTGCTAAACTCTGGTGTTGACAACAAGCTTATGGCATCGATGAAATGCCGTGTCACTGGTGCGTGATAGGAAAGTGGTACACCTACAAATTTACCCATTTTCTCAGATTTTCTGGGGGAAGGTGTGACTGAGCGGTGTGGTGTGCGATACCGCCAATGCCAAGTCTTAAATGGTTGTCAAACAGTCGACGGGATTTCCAAGAGTAAAAACTGTATAGTATTATATATGTATCACACATATGGCAAAATGAGCCCGGCCCCGAGTAACGAAAAAGTTTGCATCCCATTCATGCATACTTCAATTTATAGGATATTTTATTAGATTTTTATGTTCTTTTACTAAACCCCATTCACCTTATTAACAACTGTTAGAATTCTACTTTTATGGCATGTGGATGTGGACATTTGTAACCTATACACGGTATATGAATTCATGAGCAGGCAAGACATGCATTATACATGGAAATTTATACTTTTCGTCTTCGTTACTCCTTTGGATTTGCATTATTCATAGTTAAGAGTTTAACGGAATTCTTATTTTTCACTTTCTATCATTGTATTACGGTAAGTATTGCATACCAGAACGTTAATTTACATTTGTTTATTTCGAGTTGAAAATGATATCAAGTTTTTTTTATTATTTTCTTTTCTCTTTACAGGGTTATCTATTTGTCATCCGAAGTACACCCGAGTTGAAAATTCCGCCGCATGACGTCGATGATCTGTTTGGAAATATTCGAGATATTTATGATTTTAATAGGTAAGTGGTGCCCATAGTGTTGCTTTCCTGCAACTGCAAGATTATAAAGTTTCAAATGATTCAGTCACACATATATAGAGCGTTGTTTTGGGCGTGGACATGAGTGAATACTTCCCAAAACTGCTGTCATATAGTGGTATTTATCATATCAGAGATTATAATACTTTAGGACTAAAACCAGATTAGAATATTGTCTGATAAATTCCGAATTTTAATCGCTTACATTTACTTGTCAGTTTACATATACGAAGTATTTATTGTTGGTCATTTTTCAAAACTGCCAAAAAAGTTTCTCTTGGTCATTTTATTGTAGCATTTATCAAATGTTAATATTACAAGTAAATACTTGGCTATGCTCAAGGATAATTTTTTTACCACTATTCCGTGACATGAATCCAGCGAAAGAAATCGTAGTAAAAATCTTGTTATCGTCAATGTGATCAGGCTTGCTTCATACATGTACGATATGAATTGACTTGAAATTAAATTAGTTCTTGAAATATTTCATCAAGTTTGGTTGGAAACGAATTAACTGCAAAAGAATGACAGTTTGCCCCGAGCTACAAAGTGGTCGTCACGGTGTACCGTAATCTATCTCAGCAATTCTTCGCTTTCCCACTAACCCGTAATTAGACTGGTATCACTACCTGAGAACTACAACATAGATTTTCGTAACCCATACTTTTATTACAACATGCTATGAAATGATTGATATTACTACTTCACTAAGGCTTTTTTTTAAATCTCATTTACCGTTGTGAGTTACAAAGATTTTAGGCAATGCGAAGCAACGTCTATGAGAGCTGTATACACTTGTTAGAAAATTACGCCAGCATTTTTGAAACACTTTTCAAAAACAAATCATAGCTGGGAATTTTTTTGAAATGTTAAAAAAATAAATCAAAGGATTATGACAGATGTAACTTTAGGCCTTGTCAATAGAAACGACCCACACACAGCATACCATAAAGTCTATATCAAGGCGAAAATCGATGTTAGGAGACCAATTTACCAACCAAAATTTAGTATTTTTATGTAGACTGCTCTTTGCAACTTTGCGGAACCCGATCCAGGTTTTCTCGCGAAACACGTTGGATTAAACTTCGACTTAAAAACATTATCTCCCGTCGTCACTCGTATTATAATGCACCATGTCAATTTTAAGATTGTATCGTGAAATCGTACTCGTACTATTCTGAAACATGCCCCTTTACCTACGATGTTTCTCCAAACAGATACAGTCAAATGTGGGATTTGCGGCGAACTATTTTAATCGCGTGGAAATTTTTTTTGCGATAAGCTTCTATGTTTTACACTCGTAACTCATCGACATAACCGCGGCTTCACCTGTGGCAACTTATCAAAATAGCTATGTACGACTACAAAAGTACAAACCCCAATATTTAACTTCATCCACAGTATATTCAGTGATCTTAAAAAGTTTTTCAAACACCGACAACAACTTCGTAGCAAGATTTATAGGAGTCGAAGTAAAAATATAATATCTATGTACAAAAAATAATAATTTGTTTATTCTACCATTTGGCCTATTCGGTTCAAGTTCAGTCTAATAGTTCATTATAAATGTACATTTTGAAAGAACCCTGTAACATATAACAGAAATGTTGAGTTGATGCGTGAAAATTGTCTTCCTTGTAATTTTTTTCGTTTTCTTTATATCCATATGTCAGGGGAAAATTCCCTTGTGTTTACGAAGTTACAATTTAAAAATATGACAATTCTAAACATTCCAGTTTGTTGTCTAATTTTAGAAATTGCATTCGCTTATCTTTCGTACCATAAGAATAACAAACATTGACTTCTTCAGTAGATTTTCCAAAACATATCAAGACGATAAATTGTTTTCTGCGAGTAACAAAGCATTCTGATCGGGTTCCGTTTTGTAAACCACAAAACACATTCTCAAAATACTTCAGAGTTGTTTTCGATACCATTTGATACAATTAAAGGGCACCTGTATTATTTTACGAACAATATAATGTGAGCTCTTTCAGACACATAGTTATATAATTGTTTATTTATTCCCTATGTATACTATTAAAAATAATTGTATTAGGCCTTATTTTAGTAGGAGCTCTTTCCACAATAAAAGTTTTTGAATATTGTCTTTTGTCCTTGTATTTTATGCTATACATTATTACCGAACGAAAATAAAATAAAATTTATTTATGTCTCCCGCGAACCTGTTACAACGAGTTTACTCTGGCCTAGCCTTATACATAATAGGTGTAGCGGAATACTCATTTATCTTTTTAATCGATGAAATATATTCTTTTTCAATTCAAAAAATTGACCGAAAATATCTGAAGTGAATATTTGAACCTCGCATCCCTGGTTATTGAATGTTAACTATCTTTATTCTTAACTTTGAAATGTCTCATATTAGCAAAATTCTGTATATGCAGAAGGAATGTAAAAATTAAATACTATACGATTTCAAATTGTTACAATGGTGAATATCGTCAACTATTGAACATAAATTTATCGATACTCCCGTAGTATGTGCACTAAGATGGCGGACACCGGAACTTAGCATGTGTACCAGGTTAGGCCATAATTTCAGGTACAAATACTACGGGAGTCATTTGGCTAGTCCCCAAACTTGTAATAGAACTAAAATAGGGATAATTGAAATAAAATTATGTCCTAACCCTAACCTGGTACACATACTACGTTCCGGTTTCCGTCATCTTGGTGCACATACTACGGGAGCGCCAATTTATCTCCGTCATTGTAACAGTTCATCGTTCATGGTATAATAATATTCTTATTAATACTAAATAATTGCGAAAATCTGAATATTTTACATAGATGTACACAACTAGGTACATCGATCACTTATGTAAATAAATACGACAGAAGTGTGAAATCGTCGTTAGAATCTTTTACCTATATCGGGTACTAATCCTAGAGAGCAAATGAGTTGGAATGAGCCATAGTCGATTTGTGATAGAATCATGTGTGTCCCATATACACAGTTGTGTGCGATACTTCCAAACATTTTAACGGTGTCGTTATATAGAGAAGTTTCCGTATCATATTGCACAAAGATATGTTCAATCGGGGTTATGACCTCGCCATTCACGAAAGTTCTTTTATGTTGTTTGAGATCAATCGCTCATTTCCTTGAACAAGATATGGTGGCAAATATAATTTTAGATAGAAGTGTCGAAGTGGTTTATTTTAAATTAAATTCACAATTATTGGCATTCGAGAAATTGATTTGCAACGTTTATTGGTACTGTATTATTTTCTAATTTGGAGACATCCCTTCATTCAGTGGAACTTGAAGTGAAATAGGTGTGATTTGTAAAAAAAAAGCCTTACGGTCTAGTTGCGCTATATTTGTTTAATAATAATTCTTTAATCATAAAATCTCAAGATTTGGGTTGATAGATTTTCAGGCTGGATAGTAAATACCCAATCAATTTTGGCGAGGTAAAAATAAAATTTGTAACGGAGTAAAATTGGTTATTACGAAGTGTGAAACATGGTTATGTTCCAACAAACGCGGAAATATCAGGAACTTAAATAAAAGATAAAAAAAAATTAAATTTCATAATACAGAAAATTGAAGAAAAAAATAATAATAAATTGACGATACTCTATTTCGGCTTTATTTCAGTGATGGTGTGTTTCAGCACTGGTTCCAAATCTTTCAAATTTGATCTATATCGATGATTTGGTTTATGAGTAACTAAGCATTTTACACAATCCTTCTGACTTTAATATTGAAAAAACGCCTCTTGATTTTCAGTGATTCTTAGTCATCAATGTTGCTTAAATTTTTCAAATTCATGGCTCATTTGCACATCGATGAGTAGTCGCTTAAATTGGCAGTCGTTGAATCGACTTCTCATTTAACAGGTGTTGCCATTGTTTACCTGACGAGTTACAGCACTTATCGTAAATATTTAGTTCGAATTATTCTTGTGTGTTATTGGTAAAGTAAATTCCATGACATTTTTGAAAAATGTGGAGAAATCGCGAAATTGACAGTTTTGTTGATTCTAAAAACGGTTGAGAAATTTTGGTTGAAAAATTTCCAATACGCAAATCGTTTCTACGCATCATTTATTTCTCCTCTTTGAGTTTGCTAATGAATATATCATCTAGCGAAGCCAGTTATAGATGACTCCGAAATGTATTTTGTATATCAGTGAATTGAGAGGTATCGTTTACATGCAGTTGACGCAACACTGCCACTCATAGTCACGGGTGGTTTTACATTACTTCAACGGGCATGGGAATGCAGGACTTCGCACGTGCCCGTGGCTGTCAGATAACGGGATTACGCATTTTGGGGTTCTTGGGTGTTAACAAAGAAGTAGTTTGTATAACATCAATCTGAATTACAGTTGAAAAGATTGATGAGTGAATGAGGTTTTTGCCTAACATACCCGGGCTTAAATTTCAGTCAGTTGTCATTTAAAATTGCACAAATGTTTGTTTTTGAAATAAATTATAGGGTAACTATAAAAAATCCCTCAACTCAATTATCTAAATCCCATTGTGTTTGACTTAATGTGCAAAAACTGTATAAAGAAATGGGAAATAGTTCGTAAATGAATTGATGCATTTAGTTTGCGCAGAATTACTCTTATCTAGACATTTTATGTAAAACGAATTTAAAATGTTTATAGTCAAAATACCATTACGTCCAAACTGTTCTATTGTAATACCAGCGCGCATAGTTTTGTGAACAGTAAAAATGTTGATTGCAAAGTTGGATAAACCACGAAAATATTTTGTGGTCACTTAGTCCATAAGTCTTTATTTGTGGGAAGGAAGGGGAGTGCATTTTCTTGGAGCGCAACTGCGTGATGATGACCTCGCGAAATATAGTTCAACTGTTGATATAGCCACTCACACCTAACACCGCGTTGATGGCAGGTCCCTCGAACTAAATAATAAAGTGTTGAAAACCCAAGATGTTTATACAAAGACAACACAACACCACTGTCTGTCTATTTGCCAGGGACATTGTACTTTTCCATTCTTATTGCAAGCCATACTTAAGAAGATTTTTATATCAAGTATAAAATTGTCAACTTTTGTGAAAAGTTGAGCACAAAAATGAGCACCTGGTCGACCTGAACGTGGAGGTCACAGGGTGTATCGTTCCCGCTCTCAATATTACTAAGCTCCATTACAGCTGACTCATTTTGACCTTGTTATAGTGAAGTGTGTTTTGCGGTTTAATGTTTTCATTCTTCTTGGTGTCTAGCAAAGTTTTCGCACGCCAAAATATTTACAACCCAGCTTGCATGCAATCATGCGACTAAAAAGTAAAAGACCGAATAGTCGATTGACTCAGGGTGGCAAATATTTTATACCTTTTATATTATTTTCATAATATACCAATTTTATAATTGTTTCATTATTGTCTATTATTTTGAATTTTCTGTAGTCAGTTTTTCAATCGAGACAAAATAGTTCAATAAAGGTTGAAACTTATCATGTGCACATTGATTTTATGTTTTTCTATTTTGGATTTGGAATTTGTTGTTTATGAAATTGCCATTTTTAGTAATATTCAAAAATTGGAAATTCACTTCCACCTCACCCGTGTATAGAGCACAATTTTGGAGATGGGGGTAGACATGTGGTACATGGTTTTACGTTTCCCCGCGTTAGACAATTAAATGAACAATCGTGATAGCTTTTCGGAGATAAATAAACCCCTATCGAAGCGACGGTTATTTGTGCTGTAATGAATTATCATGTTTTCATGTTATGTTTTCATGTAAATTTAATTTTGCTTTATTGAAATTCTAACCCCGCGCTCATTTGAATAAGCGTAAATGAAGTTCTTTTTGAAGCACCGGTCTTTTTAGGCCCGGGTAAAATTTGGTCTGTGTGAGATGGAATTGAGTAAACGAAAGTCATTCATTGAAAGTTATTGCTTTGTAGGAAGGTTAATCACACATGATGTCAAAAATGTTCAACGCTAATAAATTGACATAGTTGTCTCCAGTTTTATGTCTATTTCATTGTACATATATATAATAAAAGATTTTCAGATTGTAACAGCCCTTGATTGCATATTCTTTTGCACATACTAATTCCGCTCATATCTTGGTCTACCTACATTCATCCAATGTCTCTGTTTTCTTTTTCTCAAATAACAATATGAATTTCTTTTTAGAAATTTATTGAGTGAACTAGAAGCTTGTGAGGGTGACCCAGGAGAAGTGGCTCAATGTTTTGTTTCCAAGGTAAGCTCGTATATCCTGTCACGCACCGCATGACCCGCGTCAGCTGTGACGTCTCCCATCTGGAATTTTTGATTTTTTTGTTGTCATTTTGTCATTTGATAACGGATGTCTGTCGATTTATGCACGGTTGTTTTAATTTTGGACATTTGCTTTCTTATTTTTTGTTGAAATTTAGACGTTTTGTGCATTTCAAGTCGGTGAAATCATCATCATTTCCAAGTACCCATTAGACTGATGCCTGATATTGAGATGGCAAAGAAAGAATTTTTGATTCATATTATTTGTCTTCGGATTGTTTTTCGTCAAATGCTAAACAATATGAAAAGACATTCCAATTATTGCCATGATACTTCAGTCAGGCACGCTTAAAAAATGACAAAAAAGGGTCATTGTCTAAAATCTATAACGACACAAATAGGTACACGAACCTCACAAAAACTAACCATGGTTCCTCTTTTTAAATTTCAAAAAACATTTCTGATAAGAGGTGGAAGAAAGTTTGGTTGAAGTTTGTCTTATCTATTATTTCTAAGTGAAAGCACCTATGATGTATGTACCTAAAGGTTCTCGATTTCAAGTTTACCTTATATGTATTCTTAAAATCTGTTAATACGGATGGTTTGGATTTCGAAGTTTTTATTTGAACTCCGGGTAAATGCCTCTATATGACCCCTGATCCATTTTCGTCGTAAACCAAGTTGATCGATTGGTAATTAATCATTTTTCATAATTAAAAATAGTTCCAAAACCTAAAAGCATTCGTTTCCTAGTATTCCTTCTCATATTTCGTTATATTTTTCAGGATGAAGATTTCAAAGTATACACTGAATATTGCACAAACTATCCATCATCGGTTGCGGCTATGACAAGTTGTATGCGTGACCAGAATTTGTCTCAATTCTTCAAGGTAAATTATATCAGCTGATTTTTGTTGCCACCACTAATTCATCTTGGTCTGTAGTACTGCAGCTATTTTACGAACGACAAAATATGACGATATTCGATGTCCGCCAATTGTACATCGAAGATTCCAACCTTTGTAAATATGATAGATCCTTTATATTGTTGTCTGCTCATACATGGCCTTGTTTCGAGCATAGAGGCGAAAAATCCAATTATAGTATTCCAAATAAGTTGCACCCTGCTTAGATAACAATTTGTGTAGTAGTGCTCGAACATAAATATTCGATATTCCCGTAATGTGTGTACCAGGTTAGGGTTAGGGGCCTATAAATTTATTCCGATTTTCCTTATTTTAGTTCTATTACTAGTTCGGGGACTGTCTGTGTTAGCCATGCGAATATACTCCCTGCCCATAGGCTCTCGTATTCTAACAGAACTTGATGTAAATAGGCCAACAAAATTAGTTACCTCCATATTGGTACATACACTTCTTTAGCGCCAAATATACTAGTTATTCCAAATTTATACTATATACTATATTGTCTGATAGACGGAGAGTAAATATTACTGTAATATTACCAGAAAATAATTGTCTTTGGAATATATTTAAGCAAGAAATTGTCTTTCAATAAAACTTTCTAAGATTTACTTTCAAATAAATTCGAATCGATTGGGCTATAGAATTTTCTGTGTTTTCTAACCCTTCGCAAATTATGAATATTTCAAGTTCATTTGCATTAACTAACTCGTATGTCGATGTTAAATCCCGGATCAGAATTATCACCCCCTTACCATCAAGTAGTACACTCTGTAACCACGATAATTAAATTACTATTGTTTGCGATAGATTTTCTAAATACCATTGGTATGCCAATAATTCGGTAACGGCGATTAGTAAAGAATTCATCTCGCTTAACTTGTTACTATATCGATATTTATCGGGTTGGGAATATATTTTTATTTGTGTTGTATCGAGACCTTGTCATTGATGAATGGTGTTGCCAGGGATAGGCATTCAAAATGGGAATATTTATTAATAATATCAGAAAGTTTTTTTTCAAAATAATTTTTATAAATTCTGTATTAGGAATATTCATACCGGAAGAGATCGGTATTCTCAAGGTATATCTCGTAATTAATTATGATTTCTATTAATTAAAATGATTTATTTTTCCATACAATTACAATTACGGCCCACGGTACGGATCTAGCCTACCGAAGTGTTTCATCCGGCCCATTTGTGTCTGCTGAAATTACGACTATAAGAAATTTCTGTTAAAAATATCGATATAATAACGTCATAATGACCCCGATTGTTGCATTGTGCTTCTTATTATTATATAAACGTGAGCTGTAGTAACCAAGTCTATGATATGATGTAACTGGCCCACTCAGAAAAGAAATTGCCCACCCGTGCTCTAAAAGGCACATAAATGAGGGAACGAAAGTTCAAGAAAGACGGGTGTATCAAATTCCATTGCCATAGTAATTTAACTGATGGGTAACCTGGGTGATATATTAACTGACTTTTGAGCAACTTCGTATTAATAGTGGAAAAACTGATAGCTGCTGATTCGCCAAAGTGTACCCTGTTTTTCACATCTTGGGTGTGGTGCTGGGCTTGTCTAAAATTAGATTTCCGTGAGTCCAAACCCTGAATTCTGTTTAAACCGTTGCACTACTAAAATGTCACGATTTTTGTCGTGTTTTATCTAATTTTTAATCCTACTCTTCCAAAATATTTTTTGTGGTTCAAACAAAATCACGTATTACTTTTCTACAAATTCGAAACAAACCATAATTTGTTTTTCTTCATTTTTAGATACAACAGGATAAGTTACGTCACACCTTACCTCTTGGATCATACTTATTAAAACCAGTGCAGAGAGTGTTGAAATATCATCTGTTATTACAAGTAAGTTAGTTATATTTGTCTGCGATATCGAATTATTGGCTGAAGCGATTTCACGAATAACCTGTCAATGATAAATACAAGCCGAATCTAATTCGTCCACAAGTACCAATATGGAGGTAACTAATTTTGTTCGCCTACTTCACATGTGAAGGGACTGAAGCCTATGGGCAGGGGGTAAATTCACTTGGCTAACACAGAGGTGACCGTACATTTGAACCCACGTACATTTGAACCCATGTGTATATCCACGGGTTTAATCTATATGCGGGTGCTAAAACCCATGGATGGGTTAGGGTTAGTATGGGTTCAACTATCCGAAAAACAAAAAAAATTTCATAGGTGCAATAGCATACAGGTGCAATTGTCATGGGTTCAAATGTACGTGGGTTCAAATGTAATGGAACCTAACACAGACAGTCCCCGAACTAGTAATAGAACTGAAATAAGAAAAATCGGAATAAAATTATGGTCTAACCCTAACCTGGTACACACACTACGGGAGTATCAAAAATTGTTTGCTTGCTTTTAAATATCTCGTCGGTTCATTTTTATATAACCAAGAAAGGCTTCATGCACTTCAATCTTTCCAATGACGTAATGGGAATCAGGCGCCACAAGATTATAATGTAGTCGGATTCCACAACCGCATAATCTCAGACGAAACCATATCATCGCGTGCTTATTATATACCTACTAAATTACCGAAAGTGTCATTTTTCTTATACTAAACACGCCACCCAGAATTGAAATTGGACATAAACTTAAAATTTTGAAAAAGTAGAAAACTTGACAAAAGTTGAAGCAATTTGAACAGCGTTTGATCGGGTTTCCATCGTCTTATTAATACTGGCATATATGATGTAAGTCTGTGTTTCACCAGGTTGTTTATAGCTAATATATTCAGTCGGTAATTCTAGAACTGACTTCTGGTCTTTGTTATTACATGCTTTTAGACCTGAGTCAAACTTCAAACTGAAATCGGGTATAATTCCTGAAGGCTTGTATTTTAGGCTTTGACCAACAATATAACACTGCAAGTTTACATCCAATTCCCAGAGTCTATATTATTATATGTATATTGTTTGAATATAATCAAATACCCATTAGGTTCGCCATTGTTGTTAATTTGACCACAATTTATTGGGGTTCCGCTCCCCGAAAAACATGGCAATCACTGCATGATAAAAAAGACGCAATTCAGAAAAAAAATTCTCAATGAAACATCGCTGTTTAATGCGTAAAATGATGCCCATATGGTTTGGTAATCCAGAGCTGGATATCTCTTCATAATCAACCAGAAACCTAGTATTCAAACAGCAATATTTTATTTATTTTAGGAATTGGTAAAACACTGCGATAAAGACGAGGAGGGATATCAAACAATACAGGTTGCACTTCAAACCATGACCAGGGTTGCAAGACATATCAATGAAATGAAGAGAAAACACGAAGATGCTGTTCATATACAGGTACGATTTCGTCGTTTAAAAATATAAAAATTAATTCTTTATTATCAGGAGTTTTTTTTCCTTTAAATTCTTTTTTCGTTAAATTTCATTTCAAGTTAATTTATCGGATATTTCTACCACCAACTCCAATGAATTAGATAATTTTGCCTTTCTCTCGATAATTAACTTTGTATTAACGTTCTTTATTTAATTTCAGGAAATTCAAAGTCTTCTGACAAATTGGCAGGTATGTGGAATTTACAGTCAGTCACACGATCCTTTATTGTCCTTTTTTTCTTGAATTCACGTAGACGGTTGTTCGTTTTGGCGATGGGCGCGAGTTACTTGCTCATTTGTAGATATATCATGGGTTTTTACGGTACAGATCAACTTTGCAGCGAACTGAAAGGCCGTACATCGGCTGAAAATTGACACTATCGTCAAGCACGGTTGAATGCACCTGATTCACGGGTGTTTGTTTCGCGACAAACCGGTTACACTTCAGTTTAAGTGCATCGAACTTAAATTTTCATTTTGCTTATTTTGAGTAGTATTTGAAGTTTTTATTAGTTTCTGACTAACAAATCTTATTGTTATCCTAGTTTGGGCGGCCAAGGCATTCTTTTCAAGCAAAAATTAAACTTTCTTACGAATGATGTTTTAAAAAGTACGGTATTTAGATAATCGCGCCTACTGTGTATTCCTAAAACTATAGAGTATATTTACAAATTGATTGCACTAAAAAAATATTAAATCAGATTTCGAGATTACTGAATTATTGCGATATATTGTCGCCTCTAATCTTAAAAGATACTTAAATTTATACATGTAATTTTGTATATATCCGCTATATATGTTTGAAATATTCCAAGAAAAACACATTAAATGGATTGAGTTAGTACAGCAGTAAATTAATGGTTGCAAAATGATATTGAACCTTTTTTTCAAATCACAATATTCAAAATGACCTAGCCTTTACGCTTATTATTATGTGCTTAGTGTACCACCCATCAATTAATAGAAACTGCTTGTCTTTGTATTGTTTATACATGACTAAGTACGTGACATTGATGCCGTTTACCGTTCATACATGCCGTGCACTCACATTTAGTTTTCCCCAGTTCACCCTATTCGCAAACAATAAACCGTGAGGTTAGGTTGATATATCGTCAACATTTCGGATTTTTTGGACGAGAGCACGAAATACATTTTTTTATCTGTTATAATAAAAGGTACGATTTACTTCGGCCGTTGCTTGCTTTCCTTAAACATTGTTCAGCGATAACCTAGCTTTAGGTTGACATATATTTGTTTTGTGTCACACGCTACGGGTAACATTGTCACCCGTTTCTTGCGCCACAAGATTTCAATTGACAGCAAAACACGGTGTCAAGTGGTTCGAACTTTAGCAAAAACCGAGCAACCCGAATTTTTGATTTTCGCTGCAAAGCTACATTCTTTCGTTCATCAAATTGCAATATAACTCAATTTTGGACTTTGTGAGGCTTGCAGGCTTGCCCAAACGACCACATCTCTGAAGGCTGTAAGACATTATATCAGACTAATCCATTTGATATTCTGCAGTTCTATATTCATCGGATGCATAAAAATATAAATTAACACTGTATATACCTGTAGGCTATGACCGAAAACAAAATTTCGATACCAAGAATTGTCGTTGACCTATTTCTATTGAGAATTTGTGTTTATTTTTAAATAAACTTTTTGAAAAAAAAATTCCCTCTAACAACAAGCTTCTTTTCAGGGCAATGAATTAACAACCTACGGAGAACTGATCATGGAGAGTGAAATGAAAATGCAAGGAGCAAAAAACGAAAGACAAGTTTTCTTATTCGAGAAAATGATTTTGATTACAAAGAGAAGAGAAGACGGGTTTTTAGTGTGCAAAGCTAACATCATGGTAAGTCGAATAATAAAATTAAGATATTTAAACAATCGCCGAGATTGGCTGTTCTAAAGAAATGGCTGGGCTTTTCTGACCGGAAGGCATTCCCGAACACAGTGATAAATGTATTTTCTTGTATTGAGCACTGTTTAGAGTGGTGTCGTGAAAATGTTAAAGCTAGTATAAAAATACTTTCTATAGCTTTTTGTATCAGATTCATAGATATTGCTCTGATTTCCGCATTTCGTAAGACATAAGTTGCAATTAGAAATTGCGAATTCATGTTTTTCAAAAGACTACTTTTTGTAATATAAGTAATTAAAATTTAAGCCCATTTCGTACATTTTAATCCGATACGATTTATTAAAAAAAATAGGTTTTATATCGTTAAATTTCATAGAAAATACGAAATCAAATTGAATTTCTAGATGAATCAGATTGTTTCCAATTGTATGACCTTATTGAGCGAAATGAATACGTGTTAGATGAAGTAGTCTGGTATTCAACGTACAGTCAGACGAATAATTTAAGCTTCTTTTTTAAACTACTAATCTTTCTTAGTCGTTAAATTACAAAATTGGGGTTAATATTTTCATAAAAAATCAAAGTAAAAAAATATCATTTCCAAGAAAGCAATAGAATTTTGTTATAGACATAAATTACATCAATCAAATTCCGTCTGAACATGATATAAGCTAATATTGTAATTCAAAATAGGCCAGAAATAATCGTTCATAAAACTTAATAGCTACCGCCTGCCGTAAATAAATTATTTTTTTTTAGTGTGCCAATTTGGTTCTTCTGGAAAGCATCCCCAACGTACCATTGGGATTTCAAATCCAACTTTTCGCGGATAGAGCTGCATGCGTTACTCCTCAGCAAAATGGATCACAAGAGCAGGCTCGGCAACAATGCTATATTTTATTGGCGCCCTCGCAAGAAGAAAAAGCAGTTTGGACCTATCACATCAAAAGACTAATCATTGAGACAATGCAAGCATCTATTCCTCTGCAGGCGAAGAAAAGCATTATGCGAATGAGACCCGTTCGAGGTGAGAATTATTTTACGTTGAATTATTTATGTTGGTTGCAGTCTAAGAAATAGATTTATAGTATTACTAATGATATTCTCGATTAAATGACTAACAACCTTGATTCCACGATATTTCAAATCGTTTTGGCCTACCTGGTAAGTCAATTTATTATTTCAACTAGGTCAGCAACCTTACAAGGATGCAAGACACTAAACGCGGCTTAATTTTGGTCATGATTATCATTGTAAAATTTCTTAGACGGGGATGGTGACGGCGACTCCGAAGAAGATCGCATGCGAAAGAAAAGCAAATCGAGGTTTGGTCCAAGTGCTATCCTTGGCAACCAAGATGGAAAGAATAACAAATCTGCACTCGCTCGTTTAACCAGCACTGCTTCATCTGCGAATCTTCTGAACAGCGGAGCTAAGAAGACAACATCGTCTACTCCAGCAACACAATCAAAACCTAGACGAAGATCAGACTCCATGTCTAGGAAGAATTTACACAAAAAAGGTGAGGCATCGGTTAAATCTCTCTTATTTTAACCACGTCGTAAATACAGGTATATCTATCAATAAATGGGTGTGTACTTATAAATTTGGTATGAATAAGGCATCATAATTTGACATCTAATTTATGTAAATTACGTTTTTTACATCATCTAGCAATGTATCTTTCCGGACGAAAATATCTGGGAACGTATTATATATTTCATGGTAAGATCTGTGTGACGTCATTGCACGATAAGTCATGCTTGAGTGAACGCTGTAGTTAAATTCAATGGTATTAGTGGAGTACTAAAATGATTAGGATCATTTGTCTACTCGAGGTGCGAAGCATTATAACACGCATTCATATCGCGGAGAATCTCGATAAGAACGAATAAATAGCACTTGATTGCATATGCTATATTTTTTTCTTCACAGTTTAGAGGTATTTGATTTTTAAACGATTGAGTTATTGTTGTGGTAAATACATCGAGTCATGCATGTGTGTTAATTATTTTTATAAACCACGAAAACTGTGTGACATATATTTGTGAACAACATGATTATATGTTTATATAACTTGCCAACGAAATTATTTCAATTTTTGCATAATTGCTGTCAAATTCCATTGCTACTTGCCTTTCCATAATCAACAATCATGAGTAAATCACCCCATTGTTTCATTACTCATTTACAAATTAAAAGCTGTGGCCCGCGTGCCAAATGCGTCCCTCAAGGAAAGACTTTTTAATTTGATTTAATTCGGTACCTGCAAGTAATTCCGATCTCTTTGCATTGCGAAGCTTATACCTGAGTCCAAGTTATTATCTATGCCCATGACGTCACAATGCCCCGACAGCTAGCTTGTGCAAACAACGTATGTCATAAGATTGCAAATTGCCTATGTTGAAAAAAGATGCGGCCCGCGGTTTTACCCAGTTATTCCTATCTGGCCTTCCTGTATTAAAGGTGGCACACCCCTGGTCTGATCAAAACCCGAAATAGCGCATTGGTCTGTATGTCTGCCAGATTGCCCTTCACATTGGACGCTATTTGAAAGGAGATTTCTACCATATACATCTTCTTCCTAACTGTATACTCATCTTTCGAAACTTTCTCAGCCTTGAAACGTAAAGACGAAGTGGAGAGCAGCGATGACATTAGCACAGATTCCGCTCCCAATACACCAGCCGGGAATAAAGTCGCTGGAAAATTCTCTTTTCCTGGATTCAGACAAAGCACTCGTTCTGGTCACGTAGCACAGCCAAGCAAACTAACAACGACACAAGCACAAACCAGGGCAAACACTTCGCCGCAATTAATAAACTCGAAAAAGAAAACGACGCAAGCTGGCGGCGAAAATAAAAACGGATCAACGAATCAACCAGAAGTCGTTAAACGACACCATAATTCTGTTATATATAGGCAAGTTTTGTATTATTAATCTATGAGTTAAGGCTGACATAGGTTGTCCTACGACCTAATCCTGCTCGTTGGGTACTCCAATCTGGCCCGCCTGATGCGGTCACAACCAAACTAAACCAAATTTTGATGTTTAAGCTAAAAAATAGCTAAGGAATTTGTTGAGATTGCAATCAAATTTAGTTTTGGTACGAATCTTACTGTTTTCCACTCTTGCTTTTGTAACACTGTAAATATTGTTCATAAAATGTCATTTTTTACGTCTCACTTACATGGCCCGCCAGTCCGGGCCTTGCTTACTCCTGAGTTGCTGAACCTTGCTTACTCCTGAGTTAAGGATTGTCCGTTTTGAGTGAACCCGTGGGAGAAGCATTTAAAGAAAATGACTTGAAAAATGGTAAAATCTGCAGAGTTTTCTTGCAGTCTATTTAATTTTCTCCTACCTTTTTATATAACAGGCGACACAAACGTAGGACAAGTCAGCCAATTACAATAACTGAAAAGCGTCTAAGTATGAAACTTACAGAAGAAGATGAAGATGCAGCAGATAAAGACGATGAAGTGGACGGAGTCGAAAAATTTGACGATGATGACCTTATGAACTTTAACCCCCTGACTGCTCGTGAAAGTGTCAGTTGGGATATTCAGATAGTGGAAGCAGTTTTTGAACGCTATAAAAAAGAAGAGACATCTCCCGTGTCGCCCCAACCAGAGAAGTCTCCCGAACTGGGGTCCACGTATTTGACAGTGCCGAGTGATGTAGCTCCTTCGCCTTTGATGTCACTGGACCATACCCCGATTCTGAGTCAAAGACGAAAAAGTCGAATTGTTGTCGTACCCTCTTCTGATACATCAGATGATGAAATTGAAAAGAAAAGGAAATCGTCTTCAGCAAGCACGAGTATTATTCGACGAAAGAAAGACAAGAACGCCCCAACTACACATAGAACAAGCGGCGTGGTGTACTCCTTGTCACAGGTATGCAACGTCCGCGATTTATTAATGTTTGTCATGAAATAAATGCTCTTATATTTTTCTTCTACACCCTAATTATTTTACTGACGCTAATTCAAATATATTGTTTGGGCGTGCCCAATGCCCAATTATAATTGAATTCGTGATATATGTAAATGACATTAGTCATTAATGTGCTGGGATACTACATTCAATGTACGACGTATATGTTTCTAACAATTTATGTAGATGACAGTATAGTACACTCCAATCCGGTCATGTGGCACAACCATAAACAAGGCATAAAATAAATGGTTCTACTATGGTATGCGATATTGTCTGTGTGATCTCAGTGATTTTAGTTAGGATTAGGAACTGAATTCTATGAGAATGTCTTTATGAGATTAAACGCATAACAAAATGGAATCACAATTAGTGCCTTTTTGGTATGTGATTGAGATCATGTGGAGCAAGTACGATCGCATCGTACTTGTCATTGAATAATTAAAATGTTGTTATTTTTACAGCAAAGAGACATGGAATCGAATGGTGATGCAAAATCAGTATTACGAAAAGCGTCTCAAGCACCAGATAACGTTAGAAATTCTCTCGTATTGCATGAGAGTGATACAGATGAAGAAACGAATCAAATACTCAAAGAAAAAGCCGTTACAGCAAGACGCAAAAGTTCCCTCAAACGCAGAGAACGTAATTTACGCAAAAAGGCTAACGGTACCTCTTCTCCGTCTAAACAACAGGGAGAAACTTACAACGGCGGTACAAGAAGAGGGAGTCTCTATGACAACATGGATGACAACGTCAAAGTTAATGATGACGCCATGAACGCAACGGTAACGTCTTCCGAACAATGCGTGCCTACGCAAAGCATTGTCGATTCAAATACAAGCAGCACCACTTCCATTGTTACAGTACAATCAAGTTCATTGGCTTCTATATCGTCCACATCAACTGTCGATGTCACTTCTGCTAATTACAATAATAATAATGATAGATCGTTTAAAAAATCTAGAGATATGAATGTCAAAGTCAATAAAGATTTCAAACATATTCCAGTCGGCAAAGTGAGAGGACTCATCGACAAAATGTGGAATTCGCCACACGCTGAACCTATGTCGCCATCTTCGAAAGCAAAATTCATTATGACGCCATCTTCAGGACGTACACCCATCACTAGTCCAACTTTCAGCTCTGAAAAATCATTTACGTTCGAACCAAAAGCAGTTTCAGGAACGACGTCTCCTGTCGTAAGCCCCAAACTTGTTAAGAAATCAACTAATCCCAACTGCAATAACAATAATAATAATATATTTTCAACATCGCCGCGGCTTTCTGAGACGAATGATTTTATGGAATTAAATATTTCTGAGAAGCACGACAGCACTTCTGTCGTATCCAGCACTTGTGGTTCTATTATGTCTCATTCTGATCACAGCATGAACTCACAAAAAGGAAAACATTTTCCTAATAAGAACCTCATATCTACGAAGCCAGAAACTGTTTTGACTACCGGTAGCTTACCGCTAACTATAACAAGCAGTAGCGATAGCAGTGAGGGTGAAAGTAACACTATTACACAAAGGGTGAAACGGTTGTCTATGGGAGAACGCGATTATCAGAAAGCAGCTGATATCGATACGAACTCTGATATGAAAAAATCTAACACACCACTTTTGTATTTGAGACGTACTTTTTCACAAGAAGATACAAATCTAAATCGTCGTAGTTCGAATCTTGTTTTGGAAGCACGAATGAGCGCAGAATACACAAATGAAATTTCGTCGTCTTCTGCAATAAATACTGAACGGGTGAGCTGTAATCTTGATGGAGATGATTTCACATTCGGTGGCGTTGAAGAAACAATCTGTGATACAAAGCAATATGATTTCGAAAATCTTTGTATAACCACCCCCGATGATTCAAAAATTAAGGACAAAATGTCAGAGGAATTTGAACACGTTTGCAGCGATTTAGAAATCAGTACACGATTCAGTAGCCTTGAATCACATGCGTTTTCCGCGAGTGAAGAAGACAATTTGAAATTACCGAGAACAGAACTTGATATAAGAACAGAACAATTTACTGTAGTTAGTCGCACGAAACATACAAATGATACTTCTATAGAAAATGTTGAAAATTCCGAAATTGGTACAAAAGAAAAGCCTAAAATTTACGGAATTAAACTACCCGATACTACCACTGGAATGCGAAGATATGGACAACAATACGGCCAGAACATACTTCCAAACCGGTCCGATTCTATTCGTTCCACAAAGTCGGAATATATTTCCACCCGATTGTCGAATGCCAATAGAGACGGCGAAACGAGGGGAAGATCTTTGGGACTAAGAAGTCGAAATTCATTTGCCTCTACATTGTCGTCAAAAGAACTACAGGTGATTCCTCAAAGCAATGTATCGAAATTGGCCAAACAATTCAGCGAAATTTGTATGCAATCAGAAAAACTTGCTGCATGTCCACCAAGACGGAGCAGATCTGTGGAGGCGGGAGCAAGAGCAAGACACAGAATGAAAGCGCGTGAAGAAAGAAAGTGAGTAAATTACGTTCTTGTTTGCTTCGAATTAGAAAAAAAAGATACTCCTGTGAACCAAGATGGTGGACACAGGAACGTAATATATACCAGATTAAGGTTAGGCCATAATTTTATGTACAAATACTGCGGAAGTCACTTGGTTAGTCCCTGAACTCGTAATATAACTAAAATAAGGAAAATTGGAACAGAATTATGGCCTAACCCTAACCTGGTACATATACTACATTCCAGTGTCCGCCATCTTGGTTCGAATACTACCGGAGTACCGGAAATAAAACAAATTCCAGTTCTACGGAAGGGGAACCGACTGTTTTTTTTTAATTATGATATTATGTTAACCAAAATTCTGATTTGAAACTGATCAGGAACTAATATTACTATTACAGGACCGACCTTAGGCCAACGCCACCGCGCAGTCGAATTTTCGGCAAAGTTATTGAATTTAACTATTATAAATTATATTCAATCAGCGTGTTTATTCTGTGGACACAAGGCATGTAAAGTAAAGTACTTTTATCGTGATCTTGTACTTGATTAAAAAATATATAAAAATGGATTCATTTTCTCTGACAAAATCTCAAATTTCGGTCATCATTCTCCTATATATCTTGACTCTCCTTGCTTGGCTCCGCGAAATCCATTGCGTATACGACCCCGCATTTTCAAGGTCGGCCCTTGAGTCCGATTCGTTCTAAATTTTGTGTTCTTTTAAGCACAATATACAATATCTAGTTATTTTATGACTCAAAGTAAAAAATGGCTTCTCAACATTTTCAGAAACCACGAACGATCAGACACCGCCGATGCTAAGGTCCAGTCGCCATCTCCTCGGGAAACTACAAATATAAAATCAATGTCTACGCAAGATCTGCAATCAAAAACAAAATCCCCCGAACTCGAAAAGAAGTCAAATCCTACAAACCAACGAACCGGACGGACACCTTCAAAATATTCATTCCAACAGGCGGCAGTGAAAGTCGACGAAACCTTCGTTTGCGAAACGGTTTCCAGACCAGCGAAGAAAACCCTAACCGTGGTATCATCGACACGTGTTTCTATAAGCGACGAGGACGACGTGTTTCCCGATTCACCTAAATCCATGCCATCCCCGCCTAAGACAGATGACACTGAAGCCCCTAACAGAAAAAAACTGTCGCTCGTGGAACTTTTCGCCGCTAATCCACACAAGGAAAATCTTGCCAAACCTGAATCGCTCACAAATCAAAATGACGATTCCTCGTCATTAGAAAATCCCGTCATACCTGAAATCAAATCCCATAATTCCGTCTTGCAAAACGCGACTGAGAGCCCTCCCAGCGTTCGAGTTATTTTGGTACGAACGCCGGACGATGAACAAGGACCAGGTATATTGGAGCCTCGAGTGCTGAACTTAGACTCGAGAAACAAAAGGGGAGCATTATCACCCCCGCCTTTAGAGAAGCGGCATAGCTGGACAACGCGATTGGATGAGAGCGATGTGCCTCAACGAAGAACTAGGCTGAGGTCGTCGTCTTTGACGCGAAAGAGAAATCGAGCGATCATCTCACCCGAGTCGCGATGAATTTAAAATATATAATTATTTGTTAATATTTTAATCCACAATTTGGATAAAATGCTTGCTTGGCCAATCATGAGTTATACGAGTGGAAGTTCACTTCTAGATGCTTAGTTAATTTCGGACAAATCTGATCTATGCGCTTACCATGAATTTATCAAAGCCACCGGGTATAAAGCTGGATAATTTAAATATAGATTTCGTGCAATATCATTTCGCTGGTGACATCACTGACAAGTCACAATTCGATTAGATTTTCAGAAAGCAAGTGACGTTTACCTTATTAATAATAAAATAATATATCAGTATTTTATTTCCTTGTACTAGATAAATTACTACTTAACATGAAACTAATCTGGCATCCCGATATTGACTTAGCATATACTAATTACAACTAATTTCAACTACCCTAATCATATAGGGAATTTTTGCTATTGCTATGTGCGTTTGAGATCAAAATCTTATATTACCTATATTTATCAACGCTAATTATTCATGCTTGACCCTTGGAAAATAGATTGTTTCAGATCGATGACAACGCACCTATTCTTTCTACTTATTGTCCTATATATTTATGTATTTCGTTTTATCGTGAATTATCAAATTTTCGCACAAAAGGGACTACTTCTGTCTCCAGTATTACCGCTATCACTTATTAAAATATTATTATTGCATTGATACTTTTTGTTCCATAATTTTTGTTGTTATATTTGCTATCTTAATTATTATTCTTGGTATTATATTGTTATTACAGCGTATGATGAAATAATATTCAATTTGCGCCTCGTGTTGGATATCAAAATAAATACAAAAAATGAATATATGAGTTTTATTAAAATGCGAAGAACACAGACTGACAGAATATCATAAGTCCAAGTTCCCTGATATTTTGTCAAGTGCATGCATCTGGAAAGACCAACTGATTAAATATTGCTGTGATACACCATACGAAAAAGTTCACTTGATCACTCGACTAAAATAGTGAAAAAACTACTGTATTCCATCTTCGCCACAAAACTAATGTTACCACAGTTCCTACCTTTTTCTATAAATTCCTATTTTGTAAATTTTCGTCTTCCCTCGCTATGCATAAAGCTCTATTTTCCTTTATTTGTTCATGATTTAGCGGCTCTTTAACTAGTTTTGAACGCAGCTCGCACTCCTCCTTTGTGCCGTTGAAATAGTATATAGAGTCTGTAGAAATAAGTATTACAATAATAGTAAATAGCTGAATAATATAAGTAAAATTAGACAGAATACAAAGTAAAACTTCTACATTTCATACCCGAAAACAACCTAAACCGTTGGTTTAAAGAGAGTTAGACTTTAGAGCAGGAATGGCGAACCACTGACCACCGACCCATCTCGTTTTATTCGTGACCCGGCACGACTAAAATTAAAGGCACGACTAAAATTAAAAAACTGCTAACACAGAGAGAGAGAGAGAGAGATTTATTATTTCGTCAACCAGAAAACAAGCAATGGTACAATAAAATATATATATGCAAGTTAATTCGGTATGGACTGGGGAGTGCGGTACGACCATAAGGTCATTGAAGTCAGCTCCCCCGAAATTCACTATTAAAGAATCACAGTTAATGTATATAAACTATGTATCATCAGATCTGTTTGGCACACAATACATGTATACGTTGATAATAAGACAAAAATTCAAAGAGTTTGGGCGTTGATTCTTGAGAAAGAAAAATATATAGACGCGAATTGTTGAATTCGCGCGTCGGAGCTTGGAAAGTAAAAATAAACTAGCGTGAGCGGGCTTTAAATTTGAAGAGTTGGAGTTGAGTTCTGGTACTTATTTTTGTGTCAAAATTCTGTTAATTGACATACCGCAAAGGACTGAAGATTGCAGCCGGTATGGTAATTTTTAAAACCCCGAATCTTGGACGCATGTCTGCACCGCTGTGTACCGTTATTCAGCTATTGACTCTGACATCGTTCATGAAATAACAGTGCGATTGATCCGTCAATTTCTCGTAAGGTCTTGTCTCTTACGAAAGTGCATTTGAGACTATTTCAGGGGTTATACGAGAACTAGATGCTAGTTTTCATTTTATTAGTTTCGCGCCTACTATGCTGTTGATAAAACAAAATCGGGGCTCCCGAAGTATGCGAACCAAGATGGCGGATATCGGAATGTAATATGTGTACTAGGTTAGGGTTAGGCCATAATCTTAGGTATAAATACTACGGGAGGCTCTTGGCTAGTCTTCGAACTGATAATAGGACTAAAATAAGGAAAATTGGAACAAAATTATCGCCTAACCCTAACCTGTTACCCATGTTACGTTCCGATGTCCGCCATCTTGGTTCGCATACTTCGGGAGCACCACAAAATCGTTCAGACTTGAAATAAAAACCTAGAAATCTGAAATAACAATGGGGCAGTGTAAAAGGGCATTAATGTGGTTGAGAGCTGATCGAGAAATATATTTCTTCTAGAGTGGAATTCTCTCCAAACTCTTTGAAACCTTAAATAATTTGCCGCATCATCCTAAACGTTTTTGGTACTCTAATTTCACAAAATCGAGTGCCATAAAAAGTCTCCAATTAAAGTGATGCATAAGTAAAGCCCAAAAATACACCAACATAAGCTTATAAGATTTGTTTCAGAAGTTTCATTATAGATACAAACATTGATTAAATATCTGTGACCCACTCTCTTCTCTTCGCCGATGAAAATATAATTTTTGACCCATTCATTGAAAAAGGTTCGCCATCCTTGCTAAAGGAACAAGCGATTTCCCCAGGATTGAAATATTGGATCCATACAAGAAAAGAAAAATCGGTAAATAAATTTTACATCGTCAGCTGCTTGCACTTAGTTAAGGTGTGAAAATGCGACAAAGAAATATATATATTAAACAATCAGGAGTTTCGCCAACAATAATAATACTTCTGCAGCATCACATTGAAACATTCGAAGAATCAGGATCCCTCACCCCATCCCCAACAAGAAAAAAATAGAAAGAGCAAAATGGGAACCAGATTCGAAATATATACTGACCGGAAGTACGGTGGTAAATTAAAGCACGAAAATATGATATATTGCTAGCAATCTCTCCGTTCCGGCATAATTCAACCATCCGAAGTTCTTTTATTACAACAGCTGGGAAACATTCAGAGTGAATAAAATTTCAAATAATTACTTACAGCGTAAACTAACTAAACTACAGCGTACATCAGTCGTGTGTTACAAAGGGGTTTACGTACTGTCTCAACTTAGTTTCATTGGCTTCTGACAAGAGGTCTGGGGGGACGACTTGGAACTTTCGGACTTGATCAACTTAATGAGATTTTCAGAATCCGTTGAACTCAATAATTTTCAATTTGAGAAGAAATTTTCCGCGAATCTCTGTACCATGAAGACTAGAAGCACATTCATTAAAATTAAGTAAAAAAGCTGATTTGTTGTGGTTGTTTTTCAACTGTTTTCGACACTGAATCGTTTTTTTTTTACAATCTTAGCTATAATACGGCTTTTTGATTCCAGTATAGAGTTGCGGTTAAATTCGTCGAAATCTTTTCCATACGCGAAGACATTGTTGCCCTAAACATAAATACAAAATTTAATTTCAATAGTCGATTTAACATTCGATACGAGGTCTAGTTTTTATTCCGAGCTTGACCTGCTGTTTGTTCTAGAAGCGTTGACTGCACTGGGTGAATGATATATATTTTCAAATATTTAGGCAAGCAATTAATTCCGTAGACATTGTCTACAGACATACTAAGTTATCCGAGGCATATAAGCGCGTATTTTCATCTATCTCGCTTGGTACATTTGGTGAAAGGATTATTGATAGCAAGCCAGGAAACTTACGGTTTTCAGTAAATCGTTCAACAATATACTAAAACGATGTTGGAAAGGAAAATGAATTTATGTCTTACTGGAAATGCCGCAAAGTTGAATTTAAAAAAATGTTGAATATGAAAAAAAAATATATATATATACTATATGAAATTTTGCAGCTAAATTATTTTCCCGCATACAATGCGATTTGGGAAACAAAAATTAACGACTACAGAAATCTGTATGAACAATGTAGCTAGAATATGGTAGTGACTTAAATGCAGTTGAAAGTCGGTCGAGATGTATGGGAAGTCGATCGGAGTGAAATTTTCTTCTAAACTCTTTGAAACCATGAGAATATTTGTCGTGTCATTATTAACGTTTCTCGGTAATTCATATGCATGCGAATCCGTGTTTTCACACATCAATTTCATAAAATTGAGCAATAGAAAGAACACGATATCGAAACTCAGTCTCGGTGTAAGTGCTTTATGTGCGAAGCACAAAACTGCACATTTGCCAACTAAAGATTATATGACTCGCGGAAAATGCAATAATAAGTTGCCTAACGGAGACATTGATTAAATACCTTGACCCACCGTCCCTTTTTCCGGGATAAAAGTTTGAATCGGAAAGAGAAATTTGACTCATTCAAACAGAGAAAAATTTAAACTCACAATACCATAGAGCAGGCCTGCACAACATACAGCCCGCTGGTTATTCGGAAACACGCCACTTCTCGGGTCTAACAATCAAAGCCGGCATTGTTATGTAAGAGCGCCGATACTCCGATCATATTCGAAATCGTGAGATTTATATTTTTGCACTAGTTTCAATAAATATCGAACTTTGTGTGAAATTGGTGTGCCCTTCACGACCCTAAAATTCATCGCTCGCCCCCCAGTTTGGGAAACCCTGATTCAGATATCTCAGTATTCAGACTGAATCACGCTTAAAACAATATCGGTATACAATCTCACACCCATTAGTGCATACTAGCAACCTATTATTAACCCCATTATTTTTTACTAGCAGTTTATGAAAAAGTTTCTTTTTTGATTTAAATCTAGAACTTAAAAAACAATTCCTTCATTTATGAATGGTGCAGAAATTCTCGCACAAAAGATTTTGCTATTTTTTTAAAATTTTAAATAGATTGGAGCAGATTTTGTAGAAAAATGTAATTTAACAGTCAAAAAAGTACAACAGAGGAAGATCTATTGCTACTAAACGGATTGTTTGTCTAGCCTACAATGGAAATATCCAATAATGGTAGTCGTGATAGATATGACTAAATAAATTGTCATACATATATTTGGGACGATTTTACAAAACTGAACATGAGTAAAATATTTTCCTGCAGTCAGTTTATACTGCAACACGCAATACCTAATTCTAATAAATAAGAAATATTAAAAATATGCATCTCATATGCAAATATATTGTACCTTGTTTTTACTCAAGAAAATAAGATTCTTCATATTTTTAAGCTCCCCAGTAATGAAAATGTTTCATTAATTTAACTGTTTCAGAATATTATTTTGATTTGTAGTTCATCTTGTGAAATATGTATGTGGCAAAGTTTGTGGCCCGGCGGGCCTTCAGATTTATGCTTGCGGCCCGCGTGGTAATTTGAGTTGTGCAGGCCTGCCATAGAGCCCACAGTATTTTTTTGTGCCTGCCTCATGAAAACTTATTGACAGGTATCAAAGCTAAAACTCAATAATGGAGGATATGCATTTATTTTACAACATAATAAAGGAATTTAACAAACATAAAACATAATATCAGGTTAACAATAATACAAGATATATTTCGGAAAAAATGGTCACAACAGTATGAAATGTACTTTACAATTCTGTTCAGAATGCAACAAATGAGCATAGAATATGTATAACTTCTCAGCCAAATCACCATTTGGCCTCTTTGGGCAAGGATGTTATGTTATTAACTGCGTTTTGCGGT